ATATATATATACATATACTACACACACACACACACACACACACACACACACACACACACACACACACATATATATATATATATATATATATATATATTATATATATATATATATATATATATATATATAAGGAATAAAAGGACCAGAAGGGGCCGGGATGTCTTAACATTGATCAGATATCAGATTGCCAACTACGACCTATCTAGCACCGCACGTACGCGACCACTTAACTGAATAGGCAGCTGAATCCCAATCCTTCGGACCTCCATGCCCCAATCATCCCTCAAGCCAAGGACTCCGACCATCACGACGCGGGGCGGTTAGATTAACGTCGATCCCGCCCATTTCCTTGGCCGATGGTTCTTTCATGGGATTTGAAATTTAAAAGTTGAATTGCTTAAGGCATTGGTAAAAGTGGATCCCTAACCGCAAAAATCAGCCTATATAAAATTAATGATAAAAGGAGAAATTGATAAAAATACGGGGAATAGAAAGATAAAACAATTGAATAAAAGCAAACAACGAAAATATCAAACTAGAAATTGAAACTCAAATATATGAAAACCTCAGAATGGATAGGGGATCGCATCTAGAAAAGAAAAGATAGAAAATAGTAAAACAAAATCCTCATTAAATTAAAACAGTCCTCCATAAAAATAATTTTCTTTGAAAAGTTCTCATACTCTCACGTGTAGGGATAACTTATCTAGGGCCTTTGACATTCGCGTATAAATAAATATATATGGTAAATTTGTAAATGCGAGCCCACACCGCTTTTTAGATCAACAGAATATTTTTCCGGTATTATTGGAAAAAGGCGTCACCAATTAATCGACCAAAACTAACCTTATAGCCTTGAAGATATTTAATTAACGATCACTTTTCATTACATAAACTGGTCTCGCAAATTAATAATAACGAAGTTATTTAATTGAAAAAAAAAAATAAAACGAGGGGAGATTCACACGGGAGCTGCGGGAATACTGACCAAATTCTCCACTGCGCATGCGCGGGGTCTCTCGTACCCGTACTGTTCCTGTTATCTCGCCTGTGACGTCACGGCCAGTGTCACGATTTCATTAGTCAATTGTTTGGCGGTTAAGTTAATAGCCAATGGCGAAAGAATTCACGAGGGAAACAGCCAATGAATGAACATTAGCTAAAATAGAAGCTATGAAATTCAATTTTCAAATTAGTCTCGCCATGACTTCCGTGTGTATAGGATGTGGTATCAAACCATTCCAATTTATATAAAGTTATTTTTAAGACGATGAGGCTAGCTTGAAACTATTACGTGAACACGGAGTCCTACCCTCTGAAATGCCCTGCGATCGGCCGTCGCATAGGTATGTTTTAGGTTTATTTTCACTGAAGTGACGGAAAAGGTTTAGGATAGGACCGCACCGACTAGGAGAAAATTGAATAACATAGCGTTGCAGGCGATGGGAAATTACAAACCTTGCTATGAAAATTTATTTGCAGAGGTGAACCTATTCCAGTTAAACGACGAAAATGTGACGCGCAAAATGCCGCGCAGAGACTAACGGCCGGTTTGTTATAATTGTGCCAGGCCCGACCCAATGAATTTTCATAAATGCAGACGTAGAAATAAAGGCATTTCTGTTTATATATCTGATAGATACACGTTTAACTATCTATTTGCCCGGTTGATATGCATTTCTAGCCTGATATGTATGCATTTAATTCTTTATTTATGCATGTCAAGTATACGAATATTCTTTGGGTCGGGCCTCGCACAATTCTAACGAACCGGGCGTAGGTCCTCCAGCGTATAAGTCCACACGCGACCTAATGTTTACAAAGTTCTTGCGCAGTTTTCACACCTACTGCTGGGCCACTGCGCATGCACGTCACATGACGTCACTACGAATCGTGTACTTTTTAACTTTAATGCATATTTCATACGGATCTATCTTAATATTTTCGGTTGTATAAACCGATTATGTTATTAACTTTTTTTTTCTCACATTGACAGGGTTTAGTAAGTTATGGCCTGTGTTTAACATTTTTTTTTTTTTTTTTACAACCGTTGCATTTCATATAATGCGCGCGTAAACTAAGGAGGGGTCACTTTGACAGCCGGTCAGTTTGAAGTATGGCTGACCGGTGTCAATACTGTGACAGCGGGTTTGGTGAATTTTTCAAAAAATGTTCAGGAGATTTCGAAGGTCTTTTACGTTTGTGCAAAGACCACAAACTTATATTAGATACAATTAAGTGTGAAAAGTGTGGCGCAGACTGCCGGACCGATTTGAACAAAAAACTTTTCCGGTGTGACAAATCCCGGAAAATACATAATAGGCGTGTCAGGTGCCAGTTTCAAAGGTCCATTTTCAAGAACACTTGGTTTGAAAATAGCACACTCGACATAGAAACTAATTTGTTATTCGTTAATTTATATATTAATTAAATTATATACCTCGTAAAAGATTAGTGGTCCTCAAAAAATTGTTGAGATCGATGAGAGCAAATTTGGAAAGCGGAAATAAAATGTTGGCCGTCTAATAGTGGGTGTTTGGCGGCGTTTACCGTCAAACAAAACAATTTTTCCTTGTCCTAGTGCCTTCGAGAGACGCAGAAACGCTCCTCGCAATTATTAAAGAAAAAACAGAGCCGGGAACCACCATAATAAGAGATTGTTGGAAGGCATATAAATGTCTTCAACATGAAGGATTCAAACACCTTACAGTGAACCACTCGCTTAATTTCGTGGACTCTATTACAGCCGCTCACACAAACACCATTAAAAGGAGGTGGAGAGACGCAAAGGCGAAAGTTCCTCGCTACGGTAGGAGGAAATACCCCTTCGTGGGCTATTTGGCTCGGGCGATGTTCCAGACGAACTTCCCCGAGACCAGCAAGCGTCTGCACGAATTCCTCCTTGCCGTAGCTCGCCTGTAACGCCACACTAAGGTATGTAAAATGTAATTCGGTAAAACGTGTTCGAGAGGGGGTTCGAAGCGGAGACCACTGCTGCTGAAACACGGCGATCGGCTAGGGAAGTACGGCCATCGGGAGGGGGTCTGGGGGCTTAGCCCCCGCGTTAGGAATTTTTTTCGTTTTTTACGGCCTCCAGCTAGTTAAGTATGGCGATCGGCTAGGGAAGCACGGCGATCGGCTAGGGAAGCACGGCGATCGGCTAGGGAAGCACGGCGATCGGCTAGGGAAGCACGGCGATCGGCTAGGGAAGCACGGCCATCGGCTAGGGAAGCACAGCCAACGGCTAGGGAAGCACAGCGGCTAGGGAAGCACGGCCATCGGCTAGGGAAGCAC